ATTTTTTTTTTTTTTTTTTGCAAAAATCTAGTTGGTTTACTAAAAGATAATCACCTCTACCACAAATTCTGATTCCTTTAAGACAGGGTGGAATCTAAGAGGGCTGCCCAGCATAGGTGGAGGGAGAAAATATTATCTGGGGGGGCTGAATACACGTACACACATACACACAGGCACATACCGCCCAACAAGTAAGTATGTTGAGTGGAAGTGGCAGGGGGAGAGGGAAGGCGTGGGGGGAGGCAGATCAAGGCCCCCACAGTGAGGGAGGGAGTGGGGCAGAGGCAGGGGCTGGAGTACAAAGGGATCCCGGGGCAGGTCGTAAGATGGTTGGAGCCTGTGCAACTTGTCCAGGGACACAGGGAGGCTCCTGGTGCTGCGCACATCCTGGGGGAGGCATAGGGGCATGTGTCCCCCAGATTTGTGGATGGGGCAGAGACAGGCTGCTGCTGTGGGCTAGGGCTCTGCACCCTGCTTCCACTGCCTTGGAAGCTGCGCAATGCCATGTGACTACTGCCGCCAGGCCGCGCCATGTCCCCTGCCCGCCCGGTGGTGGCAGGCATATGGTGTCGCATGGCTTCCAAGGCAGGGGCATCAGGGCACAGAGCCCATCCTTCAGCAGCAGCCTGCCTCTGCTCCACACACAAATCTGGGGAGCACGTGCCCCCCCCATGCCTCTCCAAGGGTGCGCACAGTGGTGGGAGCCCTTCTGTATCCCTGGATGAGCCTCCTGGGCTCCAACCATCCCATGACCTGCCCCAGGGCCCCATTCACCCCAGCCCATGCCCCTGCCCCACTCCTTCCCTCACTGTGGGGGTGTCAATCTGCCCCCACCATGCCCCTTCCCCTTCACAGGCTTGCCTGCTGTGGTTGGCAGTGCTCCATAGCCGCTGGGCTACAATCCTAGCTGCATGCAGGCTGCGGCTGCATGTCTGTGTCTGTGCATGCCCCCTGCTGCAGCTGCCTGGAGCCTGTGCCCAGGCTGTCCTGCAGCCCTCTGCACTACCACCCCTGTCTCACATTTGTGGGCGTTAAGCCCCATTAGCCCAGGCCTTTTGCCGCCTATGCTTCCCAGACAGGATTCCAGAGCAGGAAGATGCATGGGACTTAAACAGCATTGCCAGCTGCCCCTCCACATCACCCTTTTAAAAGCACAGTGCACCCCACAGTATCCATCTGTAGATCATGTGTCTTCCCAAGCTAAAGGCACACAGGACTAGCATGGATAAGACATTCCAGTTTTTGTAGCCAACAGCATGCCAGGGAGTGACAGGACCACTGTCACATCTGGCTGCCTTTGAATACCTAGCCCAATGACCAGGCACCCATCTTAGCTTGGCTGATGAGGGCAGCCTTGGAAACAAGTCTGAAGGAGCCGAAATACACAAACAGCTGTTAAGCCACAGCCAGACACCCTGTCTGCCCAGCTGCCACACCTGGTGTGGCCCTATAGGATACAAAAATGGGTGTGTGGGCAAAACTCAGGCCCACATCTCCCATCCTCTGACCTCTTTGAGAAGACTTGCACTTCCTTTCTTTCCTCTGTGTCCCTCCCTCCCCGCACCCTTGCCTGAGAAAACTGGCAGGCCAGGGTCCACCCACACCTCCCATGGCCACTGTCCCTCATCACCCATTTATTCTGCTCCCTTCCATCTCCAGATCAATCTTGTGCCTCCAGAGCCCAGGCTCCATTACTGGAGAGAGGACTCAGTACCTTTAGATTTCTTGAACATCTGCAGGATCTCTGGACAGGGCATGGTTCTGGACTGGCCAATCACTGCTGCCTCCCAGCAGCTCACACCATCCCATTCTGTCAGGCAGCCTGGGGGAGCCAAGAACACAGTTAGCATCAGGGGTAGGAATGTGCCAAGCACTGTATCTGCATCCTGTGTCAGGGAACCACAGCAACCCAGTGCACCATGGCATCCAGGAGCAGGGCAAGCCACCCCAGCGGTGCCTGCTCAACCACTGTGACCCCACAGCCTCCCTTCCTCTGGACTGGCCAATCACTGCCGCCTCCCAGCAGCTCACACCATCCCATTCTGTCAACATGGCAGCATCCTCAGGAGGCCGCTGCCTCACTCACTCCACAGAAGTCACCCAAATGAGTCATGTATTTAAATCCCAGCTGAAAGCAGAGCAAGAGGATCAAGAAGGCACTCCTTTCTTTCCCTCCCTGGGCTAAGTCACTCTAGGAAATACCAGGCTCTCCCAGGCAACAGTAAAGGAGAAATTCACACCAGATCCTCAAAATAAATTTTATTAGGGGTCAAAATAAAACCTTTGCTGCTTCAGTGTGCCATCATTCAAAGCAGAAACCAAAGCTGGTTCCAACCCCAGCTGCTGGCTGCACCTCAGAGACCAGGAGTGCTACAGCTGCTACATGCTGAGACAGCCCTTGATATATTGATCCCCAGAGCTCCCTCCTAGTCCATGCCTCGCCCCAGTGGGATGAGGACTATCCCAGAACTTCCTAGGGGAACTACCTTCTTGGTGTTTTGAAGTGCCTGGGAATGTCCTGTTACTAATCCCACCAAGATTTGTGGCAGAAGCCCTGGTGCTGCACAAGAGCAGCTCAGCTCATACCAACAGCTCAGGGCTCTTAAACTCAGAAGTCACTCTGCTTTGCCTATCATTGCGAAGTTTTCAGACACAAAGCTCAGAGATCCTTGCATTATCCAGTCCCTTCCCACTAGCCTAGGTGAGTACAGGGAACATCATTTGTTAAAATGTTCAGTCAAAGCCTGCTTTAATTTTCATTTTATTTTCGGAAGATTAAAGCAGAAATACACAGATTTTTTTCCTGCCATTGCCCTTGCACAGATGCAGCCACTGAGGTGGTGGAAGAAAGCAGACTTCAATAAACTCAGGGAGTCAGTCTCTAAGATCCATTAGGAAGCTGGTCAAAGAGGGGAGGTTGAATGGTGGGCAGAGCAGGTTGGCAAAGTGGTCTGCTGCCTGATGCTACTCCAAAAAGGGCCATAATGGGTGGGTGATTAACTCCATCAGCCTGAGGCATGTGCAACAGCACAGCTAGGGGATGGGCAGGGGAATCTGTACATGCCTGTGTGGTGGGCCAGTAGGGGGCACTCTTGCGCAGAGACACCTGCCACCCCATCAAAAAACAAGCTTCAGATGCCTCCCCATGGGCACCAACATCTGGCCAACCCCCTTCCTGGAGCAAACCCACAAGCCTAGGGTAACTGTTGCCACCACCTGGGGTCTAGTCTTTGTCTGGGCTGTGTGCCCCCTGGGGTACAAAGACCTTGTAGACCTTGAGGGTGCTTAACCCACTGTGAGATCTTGGGATGCTTCCTTTACCCTGAAGCACAGAGAGTAGCCTCTCTTAGTCAGCCAAGCAGGGAGCAAAAAGGCTTGCCCAGTCCCTCTCTAGCATGTACAAGGCTGGCTATATCAGATAGCTTTATTGGGTAGTGAGGGTAGGCACGGAGAAGCGTACAAGTCAGAGAAGTAGCAACAGAATAACCCTGACCAAACAGAGGCGACTTGGTAGTCTTTTGATACGCTTCTGGAACACTGTTACTGGCTACATTTCAGGTAAGTTACTCACATGTTCATCTGGAGTCTAGAAGAGCTCCAGAGATCATATGCTTGCTTCACCTTCCCAAATATGTCCCCCCCTACTTCCTCGTGGAGGGGCTATTTTATACCACTGTTGTGACCTCATCACTAAATCCCTACCAGAAGCAGACCCATTGGCTGCTGACTGGTGCTTCCAAATGACATCACCTTCCTAGGCCAGAGAGTTAGTCACATGACCTGCAGTGGTGGGAACTCTTAAACAAAGAAAGAGAGAGCTCCTCCCTCCCTATGGGATTTACAACCCTGTTACCTAGGAGACCAGGTGAATCCAGGTGAATTACAGGGTTTGTAACCAGAAGGGGAGGGTTTGGGCTGCTGCATTACAGCAGAGAGATAGACTGGGGGGCACTGGCAACACAGAGGGGGCGCATGCACTCACTGGGTAGGATTTACCAAGGGGTCATACTGGACAGGAGGAGGCCTGATGCCTGGGTATGGCCACCCCTTGCCCTGCTCACCCCACTGCTATTCCAACGTATAGACATTCTGCAATGAATGCCAAACATGCCCTGTGCAAGCACCTTTAGGGATAGTCCTGTCAGCTCTATCTATCCTATCACCTTTGTCACAGTGTCTTACCAGGCTGAGAAACAAGGGCAGCACCGTAGCAGAGAGGCTCCAGTTGGCTGCTTTGCCAAGCTCTCTCAGCCAAGCATGAGAGCTGCCCTGGCTGACGCACTGTTTGCTGAGGCCATTGCATGCCTTGGGTTGTGTATGTGATGGAGCCAGCTGGGCTGTGCTGTGGTGAGACATGTGTAGCTTGAAGAGCATGTTGTGCTGTGATTGTGCCATGAGCACAAGGGTCTTAGCCATTTCCAAGCTTTGTTAATGGAGTGGGCGTCAGAGAGAGGAGGTGCAGTGGCCTCATCCCTGTCTTGGGTCCAGGGTCAGCAAAAGACCTTTGAGTCCATATGCATAGACATTGCACACAAGCGAATGCATGCACAAGTACACCTTCATGCTCCTGAACACCCAGGCGCACACAAGCAGGGGCAAGCATGCATGCACACACAAGCATGCAGTGGGGAATACACTGTGCAGGCTCCTAGCAGCAGGGCAGCTCTAATGAGTAGTGTGCGCATTGCGGGGGGAGTTTGTGGCACATACCCTGGTAGCTGGCTGAGCAGTGATGCTCTGGAGGAGGCTTTTAGCTGCTTCTTGGCCAGATGGCAGGAAAGGATGGAACAGATTCCCGGTTCCTTTTAGAATCCTGCTGAACTATCCCTGTCACAGACCCCAGAGCTCTCAGAAACGTATCTGAGGAACAACATGCCTGCCTGTGAAATACAGCAGATGTCACGCAGCTCAGGAGCATAGATGTCCCAGGGCAGGCAGAGGCCTGGTCACTCTATTCTCCTGTTCCCAGTGGTGCCTGGCACTGACTCCTGTGGGGTGAATTCCAAAGGGTTTCCCAGTAAGAAGATTTCCTTCCTTTCTCTAAGTGACTCAGGGCACCCATGATACTTTGCCTCCCACAGACAGACCCCTCCTGGGGTTATGGGGACAGTGGTTTAAATGGGAGAAGGCTGTGGAGAAATCACCCCCCAGCATGAACAACGCATGCCTCTGGAGGCTGGGGGGGCACGGCGAGCTCCTGTAGGTGGCAGCGGAGCTGTTGGCGGCAGGAGTGTGGCAGAGGCAAGTTGGGAGCTACCGCAGGCAGCCACAGCGCTGGTGGTGGTGGGTGGCAAGTGAATGACAATAGCTGGTAAAAAGTGGGGAGTTTACCTGGGGAGTTAGATGTTGGCAGGTTATAATGTGTCATAAATCCAACGTATATATTTAGTTCATGATTTTTTGTATCCAGTAGGCTGACGAAGTGAAGTTCATGGGCTTGTCTGTGGC